GGAGGGAGGGAGGGAGGGAGAGGAAGATTGGAAGGGAGAAGAAGTTGCGTGTGCGGCTTCACCTCGCGCAGCTCGTCGATGGCGTCGTTCATCGCGAGCGTCTTCGGCGAGATCGTCTTCGACGAGAAGGAGGACGACCACAGCTCGAGCGGGCCGAACAGCCGGTCAATCGGACCTTTGGAGGTGAGGGCCGGAGGTGAGGGCAGTGGAGGTGAAGGCAGCGGAGGCGAGGGCAGCGGAGGCGAGGTCGGAGCCGTGCGGGGGAAGGAATGCAGGCAGGGGTGCAGCGGAGAGGAGGACTGCGGCAGTGGGCAGAGAGAGGCGGCAGTGAGGAGAGCTTCAGTGAGGAGAGCCGGCACTGAGGCAGTGAGAGAGCACACCCTTCTTCTCGAGCGCCGCCTGGATCGCGGCCCAGTCGCCACTGCTCACCTGCTTGCGCAGGCCTCCCGCCCAGTAGTCGCGCCCGCGCTCCACACGCGGCACATACCGCGTGTACGCCTGCTGCCGCGTCACCAGCGTAGACTCTGCCCGCGCCTGCGCCGCCGGAAGTAGCGCCGAGAGCCCGGCCGCCGCCGCGACGACCTCGCGGCGAGAGAGCGAGAGGTCATCCGAGGCAAGGCAGGCGGGCTGGCCGACGCGGACTGGGCCAACGGCCAGGCGCGAGGCGCCGACCGGCGAGACGACGACCGACGGCGAGGCGGCGAGCAGCGAGAGCATATCTGGGGAGTGGTTTCTAGCGAAGGTCGGGAAGGGAAAAAGAAATTTAGCTCGCGACACTAGGGAAAAGAAACGCGTTGTGAAGGACGAGAGTGGGACGGCCGCGAGGTGGCATGAAGGTTGCAGCGAGAAGCGGCGAGAGACTGCGAAAAGAGATACGAAGAGGCAGACTGAGGGCCCAACTTGAGAATCGTGCTTTTTTGGGTTAGGGATGAAGGCGAAGGACCGATTACGGTGAAGGACCGCAGGTTAGGGACCGATCGCCGCCGCTCACGCCAGCGGACGGCCGTCGTCAGTGATGTTAGCTACGCCACCGTCTGCCTCGTGCGACATGCGCTCGCCGGCATCGAGCGAGCAACGTGTTCGACCGACCGGCTTGCTGTGTGGACGGCTTCTTGTGGCTCTCTCGTCGAGAGCGTTTTGCGGCCCGGCGGGTGGGAGAACATGTGTCGTTTGATGTGTCACTGTGTACCTCATGTCAGTCTTGATAACAAGTACGGTCGATCCGTCAAAGCGATACACTCGTCACGATCACGTTGGACGGCTTGCACGGAGCTCTGTGCCGGCACGCACAGGAGGAGCCGTACGGCAAGAAGAGCTCGATGGGGAGCGAGAACCGTCAGAGGAGGTTTAGGTGGAACCTGAGTCCTCCGTGACGCGCTCAATCGCTCCCAAGCGGGTGGCTCTCGAAAATCGTCGATATCTTCCGAAAAGACTGCTCTTGCCGCAGTGCAGCCGACGCGATGCAGACGGAGGCGCAGAAAGGCTACGAGTACTCAACGAGTTCCGCGACCTACGCAGTCAAACCTGGGGGGACTAATCGCATCAAGGCGGACTTCCGAAACCTCCGTGAGCACCTTTGGCGATTCTCGCTCCCCATCGAGCTCTTCTTGCCGTCGGCTCTTCCTGTGTGCCGGCACAGAGCTCCGTGCAAGCCGTCCAACGTGATCGTGACGAGTGTATCGCTTTGACGGATCGACCGTACTTGTTATCAAGACTGACATGACGTACACAGTGACACATCAAACGACACATGCTCTCCCACCCGCCGGGACGCAAAACGCTCTCGACGAGAGCCACAAGAAGGCGTCCGCACAGCAAGCCGCTCCTCGGAGAGGCGAGCTCGCTCGATGTCGGCGAGCGCATTGCGCACGCTTTGGACGGTGGCGAAGCCAAAAACACAGATGGTGGCCGTCCGCTGGCGTGAGCGGTGGCGATCGGTCCCTAACCTGTCGCTCGCGGTCCCTAACCCAAAAGTGGTCCTTCGCGCTTTGGTCCCTCACCAAAAAAGCACGATTCTCAAGTTGGGCCCTCAGACTCCCCAGGGTGGGCGACGGCTAGCGCATCACACTCCTCTCCTTAATATCCCTGTGTGGTGGCGGCGTTCCGTTCTCCCATCCCTCCCTTGGGTTGTCTGTTTTCTTTCTTTTCTTTCAGAAACGCGTTGTGCTAAGAAACGTGTTTCTTTCTTTCTTTACAACCCCGGACCTAATAAGACCCTTCTAGTCAGTGAGAAGAAGGAAGAAGGAGGCGAAACAGTGTCACACCAAATGTCGACAAATGTGAAAATACGCTGATTGACACACGCACAACTTTGCGTCGAGCCGTGCTTACTCGCCCTGCGGGCCGACCGCTCACCACAGCTCACACCTCCCCTTTAAAATGCCGTTGCTGCCGGACCTGCCCTTCACGCAGTCGAGTGCCTATCACCTAGCAATCTGCATGTGGTACGACACAGCCATCGCGAGCTCTGCCGGCATCGCCGCCGACATCAACCGCAGGTACGCGGAACGGCACGGCTTTGCATTCGTCTCGAGTGATGTCGTCTACAGTCCGGATCGCCGCCCATCGTGGCAGCGGCTGAGCCTGATGCTGCGCACTCTCGAGGGCGGAGTGCAAGGCACACCTGTGGCCGCTGTGCTGTGGCTCGATGCTGACGCAGTCTTCCTGCACGAGAACGGCGACGCGCTTGCGGCGCAGCTCGAGGCACACGGCATTGTGGGTGGCGGGCGAGGCCCCGACATCCTGCTCTCCGGCGATCGTCCGTCCGACCTCTTCGTCAATACGGGAGTCATGGTCGTCCGCAACACGCCCTACGCGCGCGCTTGGCTGCGCTGGTTTATCAGCCTCAACGCCAGCCGGCCCGAGACGAGCAAGGACGCGCCGATATGCCTCAAGCTGCTCATGCGCTTCCCGTGGGAGCAGGGCTGTATCGGAGAGCTGTGGCACCGCAACGCGAGCGCGCTTTGGAGGCACGCCAAGCTCCTGCCGTACGGCGCGCTTCAGACGGCCGCCGCGCCGCCTCAGTTTGTGCGGCCGAGTGCTCCAATTGTGCACTTCATGCACGGGATCCCGCACCTCGGCAGCCGCACCGAGCCGATGGATCAAAAGGACC